CTCGAACCAATGGCTTCAAGTTACAACAAAGGATTTTCCAACTAAACATCTGGAAGAACTTTCTGACAGCAAGAGCTGTCCAACAGTGGAACGCTCTCCACTTGAGCCAGTGTGGTGTAGTGGCTCAGAGCGGTGGACTCGTAATCTGGTGAACCGGGTTTGATTCCCCGCTCTTCCACATGCAGCTGCTGGGCTAGTCACACTTCTCTGAAGTCTCTCAGCCCCACTCACATCACAGAGTGTTTGTTGTGGGGGAGGAAGGGAAAGGAGAATGTTAGCCACTTTGAGACTCCTTAGGGTAGTGATAAAGCAGGATATCAAATCCAAACTCTTCTTCTTATTCTTCCTTCGGGAGGCTGTGGACTCTCCTTCCTTGGAGGTTTTTAAGCAGAGGTTAGATGGCCTTATGTCATGGAGAATCCTGCATTGCAGAGGGTTGGGCTAAATGACCCTTGGCATCCCTTCCAACTCTACGATTCTGTGATTCAAGCATTAAAATGTCCTTCCTAGTATTTTCTGATGCAGCTTTCAAATATAATTCTATGGTTTCTGCTTTCAAATCAGATGGGAGCTTGTTTCAAGAAAAACACATTGAGGAGGAGTATTTCCCTTAAGGCTATGGGACACAGATGGATTGTGGCTAACGTTGTCACGTGAACCCGGCTTAAAAATATCAGGGGTGGGAGTGTGCTGGAGTCACAGTAAATGGTAACATGAAACACAACCGATTCTTGCTTCTAACAAGGTGACCCCCCACCCACCCAAAGCTTGGTCTCAGAGATTTCATTCCTGCTAAGATCATTTGTGTCCTGGTTCTCAGGAATAGAACCCCTTTTCTCTACATGGCCTTCACTCCAGGGATCCAGGTTAACAGCTAAGGACTGGCTATAAATTGTAAGATGCATCTGAAGGAAAAAAATCTCTGAGTAACAATGATATTTGTCACAGACTTGCTGGAGGGGCGTCGGCAAGGTAAGTCCTGGCTGATGAGACAAGGTTTGAACTTCCCATTTCATACCTCTGTATATTAACTGCTCCCCTACGTTGAATATGAACTCCTTAACTTCTTTGTAACATTCAAAAAGATGGTTGAGAAAGGAGATTCCGCGTGAAGCTGCGGAAAGGGTTCATCTCCCAATGAAAACAAATGCATGCCCCAATGAAGAGCGTGCAATGAAATAGATTTTTCGAATCCCTGGGGCTCTTTGGCTTCAGATGAGATACTGCTCCATTTGTTTGGGTTTGTGGGTGTGCAGGAGGCTGTTCTGTTGGCCCCGGCTCTGTTTTGCCTCAGAGAGCAGCAGGATCCGTGCCAAGTGCAACCCTGCCTGCTCATAAACATGTCCAAAAGGGTAGGGGCGTAGGGAGGACAAACATGCCAGCGGCTGCACATAAATAAATAAAACCCAGTTCTCCGGCCTCTGTTGGCATAGGGACTCCAGGGAGATCCCTTTCCCATTAATGCTTCTGAACTTTCAGATTCTCCTTGTTGGTTTTTTACTCTCTCTTTCAAGAGGGGTTTTTTATTATTTCGGGAGGCGAGGCTCTCTGCAGCACACTGTGGGACGTTCTGAAATGGAGTCCATGTGACTTAGTAGAAAGCTCATCATTACCTTGCTGGGTGGCCGGGTCAAGGTCTGTCCAGTCCAGCAGTCTTCATCCTTCCCACACCTGGACCCACCATCTTTAACCAAAACATGCATTTGGGCACCCATTGCTTTCATATCTTGGTAGGGTGGTAGTAGTGCTATTGCAGCCCACCTTGGATGAGGTGTCAATCACCTGGTAGTGGGTCCCTATCTCACCACTTGAAGACCACTGGGCTAGTCCACCATTCTGCTTCTCTCTGTGGTGTGCCATCTGTCATGAGCCCCATGGAGATGTCATGGGGCGTGTGGTCAGACTCAGAGGAGGAATGGGAGGAGAGCAGAGAGAGCTAGATGGAGGGAATTGCTCAAGGAGGTATTTGAGGCTGGGGAGTATGCCAGCAGTTTGAGGAATGGAGAGATGGATCCAGGAGAAGGACCACTGACAGAGGAGTGTTCTGCCCTGGGACACTGGACCATTCCTAGTCAGAAACCTCCTGCTGCGAAACTGCCTCCGGTGCTTCCTCCTGTCAACGTGGAGCCTCCTCCTTTAGGGAAGGCGACTGAGAGTAAATCAGATGCTGAATTGGAGCTGACACCACCTCTATCTCCAAGGCCAAGGCCATGCCAGCATTAATAATAATAATAGTAGTAGTAGTAATTTTTATTTATATCCCGCCCTCCCCAGCCGAAGCCGGGCTCAGAGTGGCCAACAACAGTAAAAGTAACACGGTTTACATAAAATCACAATCAATTAATTGAAATACATTCTAAAATCAATTCAGAATCAAATTAATGGCAACCATTGGGCTTGAGTTCTATGAGGATTACCAAAGGGGGGGGTCAGACTATGCATTGGCCAAAGGCCTGGTGGAACAGCTCTGTCTTGCAGGCCCTGAGGAAAGATGTCAAGTCCCGCAGGGCCCTAGTCTCTTGTGACAGAGCGTTCCACCAGATCGGGGCCACTGCCGAAAAAGCCCTGGCTCTGGTTGAGGCCAGCCTAACCTCCCTGTGGCCCGGGACCTCCAAGATGTTTTTGTTTGAAGACCGTAAGGTCCTCCGTGGGGCATACCAGGAGAGGCGGTCAACCTCACAAGCCCAGCCCACTCAAAGGAGTGCCCTGCTTGCTTGCCCAGTGGCTGGACTCCATCTGCTTGCTGTGCTGTGCATACCCCATCCTTCAAAAAGAAGGTGCAGTGGGTCTGTTGCATCCATCTACATCTTCTTTGTGCCCATTGCTCTGTGTAATCCAAACCTTGCTTATGCATAGAAACATAGGAAGCTGCCTGATACTGAGTCAGACCGTTGGTATATCTTGCTTAGTCTTGTCTACACTGACTACCAGCGGCTTTCCAGGGTTTTGGGCAAAAGTCTCTCCCAGCCCATCCTGGAGATGCCACTAGGGATGGAATTTGAGACCTTCTGGGTGCAAGGCAGATGCTCTACCACTGAATTACGGGTCTCCCTCATTCACATGTTAAAGCCTTTTGCCGAGTTTGCCATTCCGGACCACATCCATCTCCATGTAAGCAAGCAAGCAATAGGCACTATCACTATTCAAAGATGCATGCCAGTCAGGCAAAAGCACCAGAGGAGGACATGGATCCAGAAGGGTAAGAGGTGTGGCCTGGGGAGAATCCCAGGAGCCAGGCTAGAGTAATAATAATAATTTATGATTTATACCCCACCCATCTGGCTGGGTTTCCCCAGCCACTCTGGGCGGCTTCCAACTAAGATGAAAAATACAATAAAATGTCACACATTAAAAACTTCCCTAAACAGGGCTGCCTTCAGATGTCTTCTAAATGTCAGGTAGTTGTTTCTCTTTGACATCTGGTGGGAGGGCGTTCCACAGGGCAGGTGCCACTACCGAGAAGGCCCTCTGCCTGGTTCCCTTTGCTTCTCACAATGAGGGAACTGCCAGAAGGCCCTTGGCACTGGACCTCAGCGTTTGGGCAGAACGATGGGGGTGGAGACGCTCTTTCATGTATACTGGGCCGAGGCCATTTAGGGCTATAAAGGTCAACACCAACACTTTGAATTGTGCTCAGAAACGTACTGGGAGCCAATGTAGGGCTGCATGTGGCAAACAGGCAGCAAAATCCCCACCTCCAGGCATGAAGGTTCTCTCTCCTAAGCATATGATAGTCAGGACAGTGGTTTTCAACCAGTGTGTGCCTTGAATGATGGTCAGGCGTGCCACAGGCAACACTGGCCTCTGTCCCTCTTTCCTCCCCTCCCTCTTCCGATGCCTCCTCTTGTCTCTGCCTCCCAAAGGCTTTTGCAGCTGTTTGTTGCAGCAGCCCTGGATGGTGCCTTTGGGGCTGGCCAGGGGGTGCTGGTTGCCAGGAGCTGAGGCGGCCTTGGAGTAAGCAAGCAAGCAAGCAGGCGAGGGAGCCCAGCCAGCTAGTCCACCAGCCCTTGCTATTGGGAATGGTCAGACAAGTCCCAGGCCCCTGTGGGGCAGTGTGAAGAGGCACCTCTCTTTGGGGCAGGGGGGCGGCAGTTCAGAGACCAGGGGCAGCAGCAGCAGCTGCCCAGAGGACTCCCAAGGAGAGGGGAGAGGGGAGGAGGCTGAGGGAACACTCCACAAGGGAGGGTGTTTGAAACAGGATTAGAGGCTGCCAGCTCTGCAGGCAAGGGGTGACATAAGTAGGCTGCTGTGCCCCACAGGGATGCCGCAGAAAGAATGTAGTTGGTCAAGGGAGCCATGGACTCAACAAGGTTGAAAACCTCTGGTCTAGGGGTTGGGGGAAAGTGATGGGTCACCAGATGTTGGACTACAATACCCAAAGTCCCTGGGCCATACTAGTTGGGGCTGATGGGAGCTGGAATCTTGAAATCCAGAAGCACAATATATTATAGGGTGATTGAAATATTAGAGTTGTATGCTATGTGTTGTTAAAAAACATACCTATTGATTGATTGAGCAATAGAGATCCATATAGACATATTTTTTGAAAGAATTGACACTCTTGAGTCCATGCAGGTGATGCCCTTCACCTAGATGCCACAGATGATATTTCTTAAGTCAAAATGCATTTGTCAGGTTACTCAAAATATATATTTTGCAGCCATGTGCCACCTCCTGAATTTGAAGGTTTTGGGCTAATATACCTTTTATTGTTTTGTGATTAATATTTGTCAGATGTTTCTAGTCAACCCTGTACCCCGCCCACGCCTATTTTTCAGCGTGATTTGAATTGGCCATTGTGTCTCTTATAAAAAGTGAAATGAAGCCGCTCACAGAGAGGAATCTATAAACCAAAATATTGTTCAAAGGAGTCCAAGAGGTTGCTTTTCACAAACTCTTTGGCTAGCTTAAAATCAACACAGAAAGACAACCTGTTCCCAGGCATTGCCCAGGCTGATGTCTTTACTGATAACGGAAGAATTCCAATTCAGGAAGCAGGTGAATTAAGATCTGTTTATTATTTGTACTCCCAAGCCCTTGATGCTTTTCTAGTCATCCCCCCTTCCAGTTCCTTAAGCCATATTTTGTAGCACAAGTGTGCCTCAGAGCAGTCTCTCTCATCATATAATGTTTAATTAAAAGTGCCAAGAAAAGCAGGCTGGCCACACAACCGCATAGCCCAACCGCAAGGATTTCTATTTACTCCACCCAAGAGAAAAACACGCCTGTAACTTGAAGACTTGCCTGCTCGTTTTCATGTCTTAAATCAAGAGCTTGTGAGAAGAAGAAAAAAGAGATATGCAAAAGAGGGTGACATCTCTTTTTCCTCCCAAATTTATCCCTGAGGCCACCCAGGGAAACTGAGGGTCAAAAAGAACACAATACAGTCATACCTTGTGTTACGTTTGCTTCACGTTGTGACTTTTCAGGTTACAAATGCAGTAAACCTGGAAGTGTTTACTTCTGGGTTCATCGTGTGCACACGCGCAAAAGCAATCTGCGCGCTTTGCGCATGCACAGAAGCGCTCTATCATGCTTCATGCACATGCAGTTGCGGCGCTCTACTTACGAATGGATCGTGTTCCTAAGTAGAGGTACCAATGTACTTGTGTAGCTTGCAAGTGTATCAACGGTTAAAACAAAAACAAAGTGTAGGGCCAATTTTAATCAGGGATGCAGCACATGCAGATGGATTTAACATTTCACTCCCTAGCTGTGATCCTGACAAAAACGCCACCCCATTCTACCTAACGTTAGGCCTGGTCCTTAGTGGTGCCAAGGGGTCCTCACAGCTAGCCATCCATGCTACTTTCTGTGACCATCTCATACGGAGGGCATAGATCTCTGCCTTTCATGCTGGCATGAAATAAACTAGGGGCCTGCTTATTTCTCTTTATGGGTGCCTGCCTCTTTCTTCCTCCCATGACCAGACTACCTTCCTGGTCTTCTGTGCCTCCAGGCCTTTAGAGCAATAAACTGGGTTTGGTTTGGGTCTTGACAGAGAAGATAGTGCTGGCTGGAGGTTTTCTCTCATTGCAGCACACCCTGATCTGCACATTTAGAGGCCTTCCAAGATGTGAAGTTTGAGCAGGTGCCCTTGACTCCTTAGCCACAAAACTCCACACACGCAACAACAACAAAAGCAGAGAAAGCACATTTTATTCCCCTGGGAGTTAGCAACTGCTAATCCAGACAGCTCACTAGAGCAACCCAAAACCTGTCTGGCATTAAAAGCAAACAAAAACAAAGCCTTCGCCTTTCCACCAAAAAGAGTCGTACCAATCTTAATGGTGGGTACGAAACCAGAGAGAAAACCTGGACACCTTGACAGCTGGCACTGGTTAATATTTATGGACTTTTTCTGTGGTAAGCGGAAGAGCTTTTAAAAAATAATAATAATCCAGGAGATTCGGAGTGATGAGGTGTCTCTGAATCAAGTCAGCTTTGGTCTATGTGATCTGAAGTATTTCTCTTACCGGTATTTGGAGCATAAAATCCTATCACTTCTGCCCAACTGTCATGTCCAAGTAACCCTGCTCAAGACAGCTTGGGAGCAAGAAGCAACCGGCACTTGGCTTCCTTCCCCCTACAAGTCAGCACGACAATGCAATGCCTATTGCTCATTCGATTCTGGCAAAGGAGGATGGGTTGATGGGATGATAAGAGGCAGGGAACCAGAAACAGACAATGCTGCCATTACTATTTCGTAGAAGAAATGCATTCCAGAAAGAACAAATTAAATCTACTCACAATTGTTCCTTATGACCCGTAGAGGCTGGCCTGTTATAGTGAACAGGACATTGCCCCAACAACCTAAGCCTGTCCTCAACCAGCCCCCAACTGTCTGTCTTCTTACAACCAGCCCAAAGGATGGTCCTGGCTTTCAGCTTCCCCCTCCTCCATTGTGATGCCCTTGTGTAACTCAGCAGGAAGGAATATGGTGAGAAAGCCAGAATTATTTGGCTCCACCTGCCTGTGGCTTTGGGTCCTCCTCCTGTTTGGGCTCCCTGTCTTCTGCTCTACCAATCCTAATAGGCACCAGCCAACACTATCCACAGGGCAACCCAGATCGCTTTCACGGAAAGCTTTCACTTTCACCTAACTCTTGCTCTGATTAATGCTTTATTTCACAAATTTTGACTTGCCTTGTTCCAAATACTTACCTCAAACTATCAAGCCTAAAGCCCCTGATTTGTTATAAAGGCAGAGTGTAATCTAGATTTGCTTAGATAAAAATTGCCTTGTTTCTCTTTACTCTCTGCCCAACAAGGAACCTTTATGTTCTGGTTAATGTTAGAGACAAATTTGGGTAGCTGCTGGCTGTTTTTATTTTGGGAGGAGGGGGCAGAACAATCAAGGGATGAGGCATGAGGCTTGTCTCAGAAACCTGCACAGCAAAGCCAAATTATGTCACTGACATGCCGGAAGCATGTACTACCTAATTCAATGGGGCTTTCTCCCAGGTAAGCATGTATAGGATTGAGGCCTCTATCTTAAGGCTTCATTATCCATTGTTATGAACTTGGAGGACATGACAACTTGCTCACTCTTTTGTGACATTTTGAATTTCTTAGGGTTTCATTAATGTAAGTTGCACAAATGTTCATTGAGTATGCAATGTTTAAACCAATTATGGCCTTCAAACTAGTGACATCTAACAAAACTAGCAATGAACACCATTTGATACCACATTGTACAGAAAATGCTCAGGTGCACAAAAGCTGGAGGGAAGCTCACGAAACCTGGAAGCCAGCAGCTGTCATCCACATCCCACTTTACTTTTCCGGAAGTGTGCTGAATGTGTCATCGGCAAGTGCTTAAAAGCTGGAGAAATACTTAGCACTGTAAGTGACCCGTCAAGCTGGGCGTCCCAAAGTGCTTTTAGATCTGCTTCCTGCCTTGTGAATTGGGAGGGTTTCGATTCCCTGGAGTTTTCAAAACAAGACGTGGCAGCCCCTTTTTGCAAGTCAGGAGGTGATTCCCTCTCCCGCTGTAAATCTTCTCCTACCCCCTCTTCCTACCCCCTTCAAACTCTACAGGGTCAAACCCACATAATATGAGCCTTTAAAGTTTTAAGTGCGGGTTCCAATCCTGTTGTTGTTGTTGCTTTTCTATACAGCCCTTCATCAAAAGATCTCAGGGTGGTTCACAAGATAAAAATACAAGATAAAACCACAGATAAGTAGTTAAAACAAAAACAAAACAATAGCCTCCTCTCCCACAAGCACCTTTAAAAGGCTGTAGAGTAATCAGCCAAAGGCCTGGTTGAAAAGGAACACTTATATAATGAAGGTGCGAGATGAACCTCCCTTGGGAGAGCATTCCACAAACAGGGAGCCAATGCAGAACAGGCTCTCGTGTTGCCGCCCTCTGGACCAAGCGATGTTGTGCTTTGACATCCCAGTTTTCGGGAATTCAAAGTGCACTGAAAGCCCTCGGAAGTAGCTTCGTGCCTTGCTTAAAAAGAGGAAAGATTTCTGTTCAGTGGGAACTGCTTCTCCCTTTCCTGCACTGCTCCTTAAATTTCTAATTTTGGAGGTTTAAAGGAGCGGCGCAAACCACTTCCACCCCACAACTAACATCATAAGTGACTTTAGGTCTAAGGCTGATGGGCATGGCTTCCCTATAGCAGGCCAAATAGGCAGGCCTGGGGGGCCAAGCTGGACCTGAAGGCTGGAGGCTGACCCCTGCTGTGGAGGCTGCCACTGTGCTTGGTGCACAGCAACCCAGATGTTGTTGGCATCTGCCTGTCTTGAGAGACAATGGAGTATGCCTCTGGGGGTGAATGAGAAGCATAATGCCAAATGAGATCCAATGTAAATAGTGATATGATGCATCTTGATTAGTCAGCTGACTTCACATACAGAGTGATGTCTGAAGGGGTAGGGAAAGTGAACTCGGAGTCATCATAGGTGGCCCTAGGAAAAGATCAACTCGGTGCACTAGAGGTAGCAAATGCCAGGTTGGATATTTTTCAGGAAAAGGATTGAAACACCACAATACAATTATGCGCGTATATAAAAACCAGGTTGCCAGTTGCGTTTGGAATACTGTGCACAGTTCAGATTGCCCCCATCCCAATGAGGACATTGTAAGGATGACGGAAGTACAGGAAAGGACAACTAAATTAATCAAGAGATTGGAGCACCTTTCCTACGGAGAAAGGTCACTCAGTTTTAATTTATTATCATTATTTTCTAAAAATGGACAGAGTACATGACCACAGAATTGCAGAGTTGGAAAGGACCCTTAGGGCCCACCTAGCCTAACCCACTGCAATGCAGGGATCACATGATAAAGGATTATACAATTATACCTGGTGCGAGTGTATTATTTTTCTCCTGAACTCAAGGCTGCCCAATGAAACAGACTGGCAGCAGGAAAGGCTGCAGCTCAGGTGACAGAGCGTCTGCTCTGCATGCTGAAGGTCCCAGGTTTAACCCCCAGGTATCTCCAGGTAGGGCTGGGAGAGAAGCCTACCTGAAACCGCTGCCAGTCAGTGTAGACAATCCTGAGCTGGCTGGAACCATGGTCTGGCTCAACGTAAGGCAGGTAGGTCCCTATGCTCCTAGATTCAGGGGAGGCCAAAGAAGTCACAGCTCCACACAGAATGGAAGGTTATTTGCCCACAGGCTTGTAGATGGCTTTAAAATGGAATTGGACCCCATACTCCATAAATTTGCACTGCTGCTGCTTGGAAGCAGGGGAAGACTGCAGCCTTTATTCCCTCCTGTGAAATACCCAGAAGAATTTGGCTGTCCACTGTCAGAAACAGGATGCTGGTCTCCAGCCAGCCAGGCTCCTCTCCTACTCAGTGACAAGCAGTGGACTGGCTCCACCTCATTCCTCCCCCTTGATTTCAGGCGCTTCAGAAGCCATCCACATGCATTGTGGGGGAAGACCACCATATGGCACTTTGATAGCAATGCAAAGATTTGGAAAGCAAGCAGGATAACTAACACAGAAACTAAGAGGCAGAAGACAGTAGGCTAAACATTTCACTCTTGATTCATTTTTATCATGTGCCGTTTAGTTTCACACTGCAGCCTTAGAAGCCTGTTAAATAGTCAAAGGAAAAATTGGCCTTTTTTAAAATAGAAAAAAGGGGTAATATTATTTCATATTAATGGTTCCCCATTATTCATTAGAGGAGCTGCCTACCAGAGTCTGGAAGGCCAGTCACCATCCATTTATTTCAGGCTGACAAGAATGCCATTCCAGCAGGAAGCAGAGCAGTCAAAGTGACAGGTCTCCAAAGTGAAAGGAGTGATTTTGAGAGGGAGAAAGTCAGAAATAAGGACAACGCTGAAACAGAGGGGAGATGGAGTGAGTTGTTAAGCACAGCAGCCACCTACAAAAATATTAAGCAACACCCCCAGCAAAAAAAAAGGAAGAGTTTGTGCGCGTAATCACACATGTACGCAAAAGGCACAGCACAAATTAATTCAGGGATGCGTACTTGGATCTGTGCCACCCTACAACATGGAGCTCAATGGGAAAGCTGTTAAATTTGCAGGAGCTGTGTGTGCTGTGCTTTGGGCTCCTGCACATGTAATGAGTCCTTAGATCACACCAACGAAAAAAACCTGCAGATTCACAGGAAGGTCTGTGACAGCTCGATTCAGAGCCTTCAATGCAGGTTAATACAAGTTCCAGGCAGTATCAACAACACAGGCTGCAGTCCTCCTGGATTTCAACTTCCCAAACCTTTCAAGTATTAAAATTAAATGAAGATTTCAAATATAGAGACAACAGGACAGTAAGGTAATGGTAATATTGTGTTTAAAAACTTAAAGCATTGTTTTTTGTTTTGGATGCACAAAGGCAGCTTCTACAAAGGCATCATCTGCAGTATTTGTTCTCATACTGAAACTCACAAAGACATTTCTTGTTCAGCACTGAAGACTTCCACGACAGCAGAACTACATGCAGCCACTCTGCCTTGCTCACTTTATTTCACCTTGCATCGTTTATGGGTGTGGTTACAAAAATGGATATAGGTACTTTGGCTACAATGGTTTGCTGTGCATTAGTGTGCTTGGCAGGTGCAAGCTGTTCCCAGAAGGAAGAGGTTTGCTGTACATTTCCCCCCTCTCTTATTTAACCAATAATATTTCCAAGGCCCAGATTCTCAGATCCTTTGTTCGTGCCTTTCCGATCACTACTGAGTATACACTTAATTCATAAAAAATTGGATATTTCTCAACCAAAAGAGCAGCACAGTCAAGAAGGGCAAGAGGAGATTCGGCGTATCAACCTCCCCAGTTGCAGAAGACCTGAAGGCTGCGCTGCTACGACTACCTTTTCATTCCATGCAGAAACCAGGATGCTCAAGAGATACGGAGCCATCAATCATCGTTGATGCTGCAGAAACTACTACGCCCGAGTACCAAAAGGCCTCTTCCCGTTCTCAGCGCTAAGCTTCAAGGATTCCAACAAGCCCTTGATCCGTTCGCTGGCTGGTCCCCTCTTCCTTCTCGTACCCTTGCTGGCATTATTTCCTGCTGATGTTAGGAGAAGGGCTGCCAGTCCCCAGCGCTGGTTGCTGCTGGACGGACTCTTCCCTGTCTGCTGCAAAAGCCAGGCGCTCTCTCTGGCCAAACTGACAAATCTTTCAAGCTGCGTTGCATTTACGTTCTTGCTGATATTAAGGTTTTGTTCAAAGGGGTTCTGTATGTGAAGAGCAGACGCTTCTGGCTTGTTTTGCTCTTTCCCCTGTATATTTGGGGGGGAAAGGAGGCGGTGGTGAAACAAAAATCATTTAACATGTGCACCGTGTATTACTGACTGCCCCAAGGCAAGCATAAATAAGCAGAAACCCATGCAAAGTCCAAAAACTGCTACCACCACCACCCATTTACTGGGCCTTTCAAAAGAAAGCCAGGTGTTTCTATGCAAAGGTATGCAGAAGGGAGATCGGGATCTACTGGTGGATCTCTAGTAAGTTGCAGTAGATGAGCAAGAGTTTCCAACTCTCAGAAATGTAATGGTGTAATGGCTTTTCTTGCTTATAGCAGACTGCTGAAATGAAGTAAGCTAACCAGAAATGGATTCGTGTGTGAAAGGTCTGAGTGCTCAGTTCAGTTCTAGTACTGGGGGTGGAGGGGTGGGGAATATCTAGGCATAGAATATGCTCAGAGGCACCCTGTTCTACAATATTAGCAGAGTATCTTTTCTGCCAGGCTCTGGTTTGCAGATCTAGCAAAAGACACCAACAATCCTGACTTTGCCTACCCCTGTAGTACAGAACACAGGCAATATGCTGTGTCCTTAGAGAAGCATTTCGATGGGCAAGCCAGGACTGCGGTGGCAGAGACAATGAACTGGGTTCAGAGGGAAAGTTCAAGAGTGGAAAGGCAGCAATTTCCACATACTCAAACACAGCAAAATTCATATTTGCATATTTCTTTCACTCACAATAACTGACAAGAGGAGGAAGGATTCATGTTTTTGCCCCCATCTGTGAATAAGCCCAAGGGGGCTCTTAGCTGGAGTCTGTGCATCAAGTAAAAAAACCCCAAGGGGTGGTCTTAGATGTTTTGCCCTAAGGCTATAGTCAGCAAGGCCCATTTAGATCCAACATAGCAGGGACCTAGCAAGGTAGTAAAATGTTCTCCCAATATGGCCTCTCAAAAAATGCCACAAGCCACCCACATCCATTCAGCAAACAGCCCCTCTCTCACCCAAATAATACATTTGGAGGTTTCTGAATTGAATGCCAACCCATACTGGCTGCACAATACAGTCATAGCAACACAGCAAAGCAGGAAGAATTACTAATATCAATTTTGCTCCCCCCACCCCATCTCCAATATTCAGACATTTTCATACAGTAACATAAAGACTGGCAATAAACCCCGCAAGGGTGTGAAAGTTAAATACTTTTACCTTCCTGATATTTAGTGAATACTTGTTAAAATGAAAATTTCCAAAGTATTCAAAGAAGTCACTCAGTAGTACATCTGGAAAAAAGGGGGAAAAGCACAGTAAGGAAAGAAGAGACCCAAGTTCAGATCTGACTGGTGAAAAGATTTACAAGGGGGCCTTCTTACCTAGGGTTTCTGTGTTTTCTGTGGGCTTAATTTTGTTCAAGTCACTAACGAAGGTACAGTCGTGACCTTCAATCACATGCTTATCTTCTGCATCTAAAGCAAAAAACAAACACTTTTGAACTATCACATACAGATACTATAGAATTTGATAAGGGATGAAGTTAATCGCATAGAAATTAGTGTGTGACAAATTATAAAAACAACCGTTCAAGCACTTCAGCATTAAAACAATTGAGGCACAGACAAAAGACAATGATTATTTATATCTCTTACTCACCCTTCACTGGAAGGTCCCAGGGTGGGATACAGCATATGAAAAGGCAATACAACTGAAACAGCAACAAATACACACACTACCCCTTGAATGCCCAAATGAGTAAGCAAGGTACTCATTGCTCCTAACAGTGGCCTCTCCTTTTGGAAAGGCAGAGGTAGAAAGTGGTGCAAAATCCAAGCAACTGCTCCAATTTGCAATGCTTAACTTTTACCCTCCTTCCATTGCTTTTATCAACTAAAAAACAAATTGCAACCACTGTGAAGTTCTGGGTAGGGTTAGACTCTCCCTGAAGGAACAGGTGCATAGTCTGGAAGTAGTCCCTCAATTTAAATCTGTAACTGGACTGCCAAGCAGCTTTTGTGGCTACAAGTGCTTATGCCTAGCTCTGGCCATTTATGGACTGGGATAACCTGGCCTCAGTCAATCATGCCAATGACCCCCCCTTTTGGACTACTGCAGTGTGCTTCATCTGGGGCTGGCCTTGAAGACTGTCTGGGAACTGCAGCTAGTGCTGGGAACTGTGAAACCTAGCTGTGAGGATATCTGGTTTTGCATTTTGTTTTGTTTTTTAAAGTGCATTGTCTTTTCTGCTTTGTTGTATCTGCTCTGGGTCCCTTCCGGAGGAAGGGCAGGAGAAATATCTTATAATTATTATTCCACCTGCACATGTTTGTCAAATCCTCCCTCTTACCAGCCAGCTCCTTCAGCTGATCCAAAGTTGGAATGATGGGGGGCTTTCTTCTTTGCAGAAAAAACAAGACCATCATCGTGAGCGAGAAATTAGTAATCCAGGGGCCAGGAATGCTGCTGGTTATGGCTTGGACCCGTGCCCAGCACCGCACACTGAACACCAGAGCTCTCACACGCGGGTCGAGGCTGCCGTAGATATATAGGAGCTCAGAGCTTTTCAGGGCAATTCTGTTGGAAAAGGAATGGAAGAGGGTCAATGGGACAATATAGAATGTCAACAACTATAAGTGCAACACATGAGGGTGTGAGGAGAGCCCCTGCCAACAGGAAAACTGGAAGCATGCATCCTTTTTAAAGAAATGGCAACAGACTGTTTCACAGGAGACAAAGGATCTACAACTGTAAGGCTTGCATAAACCTTTGCTGGTTTATTGCTGAAGAGTCAAATCAACACAGAATCACAATTCTCAATGTATGATGTTCCCTGAGATGCAAACTTTAGAAAGGTAGAGGGCATTGTGCTTATTAATATATCTGCTCCACAACCCAGAAGTGGACCCATTAAGAGATACTAGGTTGTATCCAATGCTAGACATACTCAGAGAAATTAATGTTCATGGCTAATGCAGGGTTATTAATTTCAACTTTGAGTAGAACTTAATTAGATTTCACCCACTATTTCTCCTCATAAGAACAGGGCTGTCACTCAGAAGGGTAAAGAGGGAAGCAACTAAGGCCATCTGAAATGGTATCAGGAGGCTTCAGGGAGGACTGGCAGACAGGGTCAGACATGAGTGGTAACACAGAAGCACTGCGATCTTTCTTTGCAGAGGGCAAAACAATAGCTTTTTTCTGGCACAGAGAACTCAACATGGCAAAGTTCACAAATGCTAATCTGGTCAATAAAACATCAACACAGGTGTCTCCTGTGGTTTATTATAAAAGCAACTGTAAAGTATTCATACGATTGGTATTTCCCCTATACACGGAATTAAGAAAGGAAAGGAAAAACGCTCAAAGGAAAAAAAAAGAAACTGTGCCAGAAATGTTATTAATAAGAAGCCTGCTCCCCCTACTGGTCATCAAGTGAAAAAAACAAAGTTTTCTTTAATACAGTGGTACCTCAGGTTACATACGCTTCAGGTTACATATGCTTCAGGTTACAGACTCCGCTAACCCAGAAATAGTGCTTCAGGTTAAGAACTTTGCTTCAGGATGAGAACAGAAATCGCGTGGCGGTGGCGCAGCAGCAGCAGGAGGCCCCATTAGCTAAAGTGGTGCTTCAGGTTAAGAACAGTTTCAGGTTAAGTACAGACCTCCGGAACGAATTAAGTACTTAACCAGAGGTACCACTGTATCTCAACACTAATGCCCATCTGTATATTTTTATCCAGCGGTTCTCAAGTGGTTTCCCTCAGCAGACCACTTGAAAACTGCTGTTAGTCTTGGTGGACCACTTAACAGACCTTCCCCACACCCTTTAGTGCTGTCATCATTGTCAAAACCGGCACCTGATTATGAACACCACAGGCCCTGTTGAGAAGGGCCCCTTTACCTGCAATTTTTAGGGAGAAATTTGCAGGCTGCACCAATGCCACATGGACAGAGGCCCTAGGCCAGGGCTTTCCTGGCCTGTCTGATAATCCAGCTTTGCTTGGTCAAAACAATCTCAGTCTCCATTGCTGGAGTGGGGTGAGGAATAAAGTGCGGGCGGGAGAGAGATTATATTGATGCTAGCAGATCCCAATCTGCATTTTGCCTGCTCCCGCCACTCTATAGCCACTTATGCACCCAGATCTAAACCCAATATGGTGTGGTATACTGTATAGTGTCTGGGTGGGGAACCTGCAGTCTTCCAGCTGTTGATAAACTACAACTTCCATGATCCCTGACCATTAGCTGCACTGGCTGGGGTTGATGGGAGTTAAGAGCCCACCAGCTGGAGATTACCTGGTTCCCTTTCTCTGGTGCAATGGATGCAGTACCAGGCTGGAAAGACATTACTAAGCTTACAGGGTATTTCTGGCTACCCTTGCCCTGAGTTTCCTGGACGGTAGGATGTACATTTGAAAATGCTTACCTATTATTAGCTGTCAAGTCACACTGAAATCCTGAAGGCTGATGAGAAAATCGTACCAACGGACAGCGAGCATTAAGTATTTTTTGGACACCAACACAGCCAGGGCCAAAGTTATCAATAAATTCACCAATCACATAAAGGGTCCTCTGCGTTGCTATTCGTTCAGAAGGTACTCTCTTCATTAGATAATCTATGTTGAAGGGACCTGTTTTCTAACACAAAAGAGACAGAATAAGTCAAACGTTCAAAACAAAGGCAAGCCCTGACACAGTGTCCTCTTCAGAAATTTGTATAAGATGATGAGCACTTGAAAATTAGGATTGTCACCTGCATCTTCTACCGACTTGCCTCTTTTTAGTCTTTGCCCCCCCCCCGAATGAGCAAAATATTATTGTTACACACCTAGAACTCGAAAGATTTGTTTTATTTAATTAACATAATTTTTATACTGCTTGATTGTAAAAAAGAACTTCAAATTGGTTTACAAAAAACGAATAAACAATACAGTCATACCTTGGTTCTCGAATGCCTTGCGACTCGAACGTTTTGGCTCACGAATGCCGCAAACCCGGAAGTGAGTGTTCCAGTTTGCGAACGTTTTTGGGAAGCCGAATGTCCAATGTGGCTTCCTATTGAGTGCAGGAAGCTCCTGCAGCTGATTGAAAGCTGCGCCTTGGTTTTCGAACGTTTTTGGAAGTCGAACGGACTTCCGGAATGGATTCCACTTGAGAACCAAGTTATGACTGTACAATTATTAGTGAAAACAATGAAAACATTCAAAAACTTAAAACCAGCAATAATCTAGAAACACATTGGCATTCTAGATATCTCGGTAGGCCTGTCTAAACAACATGTTTTTAGCAAAGACTACAGTGAAGGCGCCTGGCTGATATCAATAGGCAGGGAGTTCCAAAGTGTAGGTGCCACCACACTAAAAGATCGAGTCCTTACAAATGTGGAATGGGTATTACATGGCATCTGTAACAGTGCCAGTTCTGCCAATCAAAGCTGTTGAGTGGGCATATCTTGCAGGCAAACTGTCCTCAAGTTGTTAAGGGCTTTGTACAGTGGTGCCTCACAAGATGAAATTAATTCGTTCTGCGAGTTTTTTCGTCTTGCGAATTTTTCGTCTTGCGAAGCACGGTTTCCCAAAGTCTTCAAAATCACCAAAGTCTTCAAAAACCTCAAAAAAGGCTACCACACCGCGTGCTATGAGTTGCTCCTCGAAGTCAAGTCGCAACTGCACCTCTTCAAGCAATGCACCCTGGGTATTAACGGTTTTAAGAAAAAGGAAACAAACTTGCAAGACGTTTTCGTTTTTCGTCTTGCAAAGCAAGCCCATAGGGAAATTCGTCTTGCGAAGCAACTCAAAAAACGAAAAACTCTTTCGTCTTGCGAGTTTTTTGTCTTGCGAGGCATTCGTTTTGCGAGGTACCACTGTATACTAATAGTAACATCTGGAACTTGGCTTGGTAGCAAATTGGCGACCAATGCATATCTCAGAGCACTGGTGTTATATGAAGCAGGGAAGAGCAGTTATATCCCTAAAATTAAATGGCCAGGATCCAAAGAGCCCCACTTATACCTGGTTTCCACTAACTTGTCCTGGCTTGCCCTAGATGCTGCTTCAGCTTGGGAGGGAGAGGGGCATATGGAGGCTGCAGCAGGAGAAAGGACAGGCAGGGACATGCCGCCTGCAACCGCTTGGAGCCCAGCCAGTCTGAATCATGTCCAGCTCTAATGGACCCTTCAGAGGAATAGATTTAACTTTTTTTATATAAAAGCAATGCTGTTAAAGAAATGCTCAGATATTAGAAACACATGCACCATCCATATCCATGACAAGAAAAGCTGCCTCAAGGCAAAAACTGAAACTGAGCCAGTTCTCTCAGTAGAGAGAAAAACCAACCTGGAGAAAGTCAGGGGTTTCCCACATGTGACGGGGAAATGGGTTTTTAAGCACACAGCCTCTGTTTACATGAGCAAAACAAGGCAGCGTTGGCCAATACACTCTGGCAAAATTACGCAAAAGGAGGAAGTGGTATATCTGGGACTCCTTTGTGCTGATGGGCAGCATTTTATTATACTGTCATGAGAAAAATGTAACCGTGAACCGCATTACTACAGTTTGCATATGCTGCTGTTTGAGATAAGATTGGCTAATTGCATAGAGGAAATGTACACGGCTTTGCAGCTGCCTGGAACAAACCTGCTTAGTTTGCTTATCCCCGTGTGGACACTGTGTTTAACCCTTCCTGTGCTTGTGCATTTATTGTCCAGGAGCATGTTAATGTGGCCATCGGCTGCAATGCAGCACATGGAACAGGCACCCAAGTCCCATTTTCATTGCAGAAAGCAAAGATGCATGAGAGCAGACTGTTTTGTGGGTGACGCTGATAAAAGCACTAAATGCTGTCAAAAGTTTAGGGCAGGGTGGGGAAGCTGTAGCCCTTCACATGTTGCTGGACTCCCTGAATCCATCATCCCTGACCTTTGACCCCGTTGGTTGGTAGTGGTGTTAAATTCTCGAGAAAAATCTTTTGGAGAATATTCTCGATTAACAAGAATATTAGAGAATTTTCATTTAAAATAGGGAAATATTCATTTTAATGAATTGAAAATGATATAAATAGTTAATATACATGTTTATTCATGGGTAAACTTGTTCAGATGGCAACCAAAAACTGTACAGATACTTTTATTCAATGGGGCAATGCAGGGGGTTCACATTCTTTGATTTTTTGCACGAAACTTGAAATTGAAAATTCAATGGGAACGACACACGTTAATCACTAAGCCTGCCACTAACCGTATATTTACCATCAACATTGAATTCTAATTATGTTGTGTATGTATGAAATGTAGCTTTTAAAGTAAAAGGAATAATTAAAATCTCAGGTTCACTTATTATTTACTAGGTTTTTAAAATGTGGGTTGTAAAACTGGTTCTTACATTAGAATTTACAGTTTGTGAAGAATATTCTCCGCAAAATATTCTCACCCCACATCACTACTGGTTGGTGATAATGAGCACTGGGCTCCATAAACATCCAGAGAGCCACTGGTTCCCACCCTTGACTTTAGGGTCTGGAATTCAGTGCCTTCTTTACCACTTGCAGCATAAGCAGGACTCTTTCATTTGTCCACAATGACTGGATAAGGTACTGGTGATGCTCTAATGACTGCTAGGAGGTCCATGCACTTGAAGATGGTGGTAATTAGTCTTTATAGTACCATCTATGTACACAGCACTCTTGAATATGAGTAATTTGTAGGATCCCCAAATTTCAGTGTCAGGGAATTCCAGGAAGTAGGGTTAGCAGGGAGGGGAAGTACACACACACACACACACACACACACACACGGTAACCAGACAATGCAATGATATTGTTTCGTACTTGAAGAAAAAGCCTTTAGTTACAGGCTGGAAATTTGGGTTGAAGCTGTAACATTAATTCACACATCAACTGCAATGCAATTCTTCTGGTGGCTGAATTGAAGATAATGTCACTAGATGCTCTCCAAGGAGCTATGTATAAATTATAAGCTCATGTTTGAGAAAGGATTAGGCCTACAAATATTTGATCCTCTGATAATTTGAATGGAGTACGGCAAATGAAGCCATAACGTACACACGCAAGGGTAGGCTTTTTCCAGCTTAGAACTAACCTGTTGCTCAGTTGTATGAATAAACTAGTAAGTATATATACTTAAAGACTGGGAGACATGGATGCACAAAAAGCTGCTTAAGATGAATGCACGGCATTCAGGAAGCTCAGTAACAGCTGTGCAAAATGACAAAAACAAACCAAAAAAGCTGCAGGTGTAGCCAACTTTGATTTGCATCATGGCAATTAAAACAAATTTTATAATTAAAATTAATAAAAATGGTCATGATTGCAAAACAGTCATTCCACATTCTAATCAAACGACAAACCAATGGAGGATGCTGTTAGAGAAAGACCTTACCCTTTGGGTAGCATTTTTTCGGATCGCATCCAGATCCAAAAACATGTCTAAGTCACATCCCAGTTTACCAAAGCTGTTCACAGAAGAGCCAAAGGGCTTCACAATGCAGTCTGGAAAATAAGCACTTGCAATGTCTTGAATTAAAGAGCAGGTAAAAAATCGGAGCTTAGTGTTTTCTTCTGTTAGCTGATACTTCTCTACGAGCATGTACAACTGGTCGCTCACCTGCAATGACAAAAAAAGGGAGAGAGGGAACTCAATCTCAGGTTATGTGAGGCACTTAGGTGACCTTTGAGAGTTGAGAAACAGCTGCATTGTCTGCAAGGTACAACTTTACAACATAAAGCAAGCAGAGGGTAAACTCAGCATTCTTTCTTTCCAAATCCATCCATAAAGATTATTTAAATACAAGTCCTTTAAACATCATTTCTCTCTGCACTGAACACAATAGATACTGGTTCAATGGAAGATCAACAGATTCAGAAAAGACACAAGTAACTTCTATATACAGCAATTCTTACATACTTGGCTTAAAACATCCCCTTTTGGTAGTCCTACTGGCTTAATTGTTCCTGCTATTTGGTGCTTGCTAAATTACTGTGCACTACTGAAGATTAAAAGGGATGGAATTTGTAAGCCACCACAACCCACTGACATTTTCATCCTAATATTAATCATCAGAATGTCTCAAGTTCTAACATCTACTGTTATCCGAGTGTACCAAGTGATACATTTAGCAAATATGTAAAGTCACCCTGTTGCCATGTCATTAAATTATAATTGGTGGTTTACTGTGAATGTGCTAACTGTTCCTGCTTTGTTCCTCTCAACTAGTGAGTGGGAGCAATAAGTCATGATCCTTGGCTTAGCATTACATCCAAACCAGGGGTCGTGGTTTGTTTCATTTCCAACAAACCATGTTTGGAAAGCTAAACTATTGGGGAGGAGTGAAGCAGAAGCAATCTGCTTGGTCACCGTAAGTCAGTAACTATGGCTTACTACAAAGTGCAAACACAGCCACTGTAACAGACATAAGTTAACGCTATATAGCTTTGCACCCAGAATAAATGCACAACATCGACTTTGAAGACAAAGGATGAACTTTGTCACTAAATGTACTGAGAACATACATGAGTGCAAGTTACTGGGTTCCGGAGGCATGGAAGTTCATCAGAATTCTATCAGGAATTTGCAACTTGATGATCTGTAATGGCGCACAAGGTTCTATTCAAACAACAAAATTACTCAATGCTACAAGGCTTCTCCTGCAATGTTTAACCACAAAGAATGTTGGGTTGGTCCTAGGATGTTTATGTGAGCCAATAGTGAGGCTCAGTTAACTGATTGTGTTCTCTAAAAATCTCTGTACTGTGCTGGTGATTTCATGCCAGGCAACTTAATGCAAAGAGAGTTCACTAATGATTCCTATTCCTGGAATCAAGATTTCTGAAAAAGTTAAGTTTCTTTACATGAAAATTCATTTTGATATTATACGATTCATTATTGCTGCCTCTCTCAGAAGCATGAATGGAAGCACTGTTTATAAATTTAGTTTTTCATGATCCAGATTAATTAGTAGCTACTACCAACATGAACTATCTAATCCTTCATAGAAGTTCTTTATTTTGCTTTCAGCTTCTTAGTATTGAAAATGCAAGAGCTACTTCATTATCAGTAAGCATGACCATTCTCTGTCCTATTTAAAAGATCTGGAGAAAAATCACAAATTGATATTTATTCCATTGGTAACAGTTCTATTGTATTAACAAGTATTGCACCGATTTTTCCAAAAATATTAATGGAACTATTTACTACATGCATTAAAAACCATTCACCCTCTTTCTGATCAGCGTTTCTGATTCAGCTTTTCAGTTACATATTCAACACAATAATAAAAGCTGCTTTATTTCTTGTAAGAGAAATTGCAAACATGAACTTACACTGTCAGCATTACATAGGTTCGTCAGCAGCTCTCCAACTTGAATAGTTGCCTGTTTATGACGGTAAACGGGAGTCTGATTGGAAGCTTGGCTTGGTGGGTTTTTCAATGTTATTGTAAAAATTCTGGATTTAAATGGAACAGGACACTCATCCACCAACTGTACAGAACCAGTAGCATCCTGCAGTGAAGCTATACTGTCGGTCTCAGAAAATTCTACTACTGCATACATCCCCTGAAATAATAGAAAAGAAATAGTAACATTTATGTAGTATGATACATAACAGATTTTATCTGTAAACATAGGCTGGGCATTAGAATGATTTTTCATTTTTTTTAACATGTTAAGACTACAGTGGTACCTTGGTTCTCAAACTTAATTCGTTCTGGAAGTCCGTTTGACTCCCGAAACATTCGAAAACCAAGATGTGGCTTCTGATTGGCTGAAGGAGCTTCCTGCACTCAAGCGAAGCCGCGTCGGATGTTCGGCTTCTGAAAAATGTTCAAAAACTGGAACACTTTACTTCCAGGTTTTTGGCGTTCGGGAGCCGATGTGTTCGTCAACTACCATAAGCCATTTGAGAACCAAGGTTCCACTGTAAAGCTAAATGTTCCTCCTATGTATATGAAACTAACTGTATTTTGTAAGTTGCCTTGGGAGACCTTTGTGTGCAAGTATTTTAAAATCTGCCAAACACTAATTTCCATGCTATCCACTTCTGTAAAGGATACAGATGAGTTATCGCAAGTCCATCTGCTCTTGGGTCTTTCTATTTGAATCACACAAATTCAGTTGCTAATGCTGAAAATACTTACGTAACTTTCATAGAAGAAGTGATTCTTAATGTTTCCATGAGATGACAAGTATTTGAGTAGTTTTTTCTCATTGATTTTGGATGGGCAGTTAATTAACACGGTTCTTTGTGCCTGCTCTCGTCTTTCTGCTAAGATCTTACTGAATGTCTTCTTTCTGGTGCTAATTTCAGTACCTGGATGGAAAGGGAGGGGGAAACAGATTATATGAGCAGAGTTTTACAGCCTGATATTAGTACATGTACTTCATTTTTAAAAGCAAAAAGGTACGTACTACATGACAACCCCCCCCCCCCAAAAAAACCCTACATAAAAGTTTGTGTGCATTTTTGTTTTGCTACATAAAAGTTTGTGTGTGTGAAAGCACACTATGCTCAACTGAAAACAGCCCCAGGCACCAGGTATAAGAACATAAGAGGAATCCTGCTAGATCAGACCAAAGGCCCGCACCCTGCTTTCCATAGTGGTGAACCAGATGCCTATAGGGAGACATGACTGCAGTAACATTAGTATTCACAGGTGTTTGTGTAATTTGGGAATATGCGCAAAATTGCACCAACAGCTCGGTCTGTTTCTCAAGGTGCCCTTCCTCAACACCTGAAATCTATTCATGGTTAGGATGCCAGCTGTGGTGGGCATCTTGAAACAGCTCAAGGCCATAGGCCTTTGGCATGACTCATCCATACCCACTTTCTCCAAAGAACCTGTGCAGGCACACTGACAGGTCTAACACCATGGCTGCATTCAGCAGCAATGTGGGTGGTGGTGGTGAATTGCTATTTGTGGTGGTGGTGGATCTCTCTTCAAACTTGAATCTTTCTGTGTATTTGAATTTCTTCACTTTAACCTCTAAGACCAAGTTCCTGTAAGCAGTACAGTTTATGATGCATTAATACAACTTATGAAGCATGTGTGTGTGTATAGTGTATTTGAATTGTCTTCAGTCAATAAAACACTTTATACTGAACCGTGTGGGCAATGTGTTTTCTTCACTGTCAATTCTAGAAAGGCCTACGACAGGAAAAGGCGAAGATTGTGAAGCTTTGCTGGACTACTCTGCTGGTGCTGCACAACTCGGCTGGCCACACCAGTATAGGTTCAACTGAAGCGGACCCGAAAAGGGCAACTCCATCCCTACCAGGGAAGAACAGGCAAGGGAAGATCTACATCAGGAACAAGGCAGTGGTGGTGGCGGGACAGAGAAAGCTTGACATTCGGATCTGCTGCCCCGGTTGGATCCTACCGCCTGAGGCAGTTGCCTCATGGGTGGGTCGGCCCTGTATGGATGCAATATTAAAACACTATCAACAGGTGCCCTGGAGGCGATACAGTGGTACCTCGGATTACATACGCTTCCGGTTACAGACTCTGCTAACCCAGAAATAGTGCTTCAGGTTAAGAACTTTGCTTCAGGATTAGAACAGAAATCGGGCTCTGGCGGTGCGGCAGCAGCAGGAGGCCCCATTAGCTAAAGTGGTGCTTCAGGTTAAGAATAGTTTCAGGTTAAGAACGGACCTCCGCAACGAATTAAGTACTTAACCCGAGGTACCACTGTACTGCTTTCAAGATTATAGCCACTGGTAGCTTTATCACTCGTCCCTTTTCAAAGCCATCTTAAGTCGGCTGCCACCAGCGCATCCCTTCGCCTCGCTGCTCACCCCCTTGAGGGTCCCTCAGCCTCTCCCCTCAAGTTGCTAAGCAGCAGGCAGACATCGAGAGAGAGGGAGCGACGCGAGGCCGGGCGGGAAGGGGCCTCCCGAGAAATCGAAACCACTTTTACCTGCCGCCGCTTCCTCGCTGCCGGGGCCCTGCGGCTCGCTCCGCGTAGCTGCCGCAGCTTCCGTGGAGCTGAACCGGTTCCCGGCGACCCTCAGCCGGGCCTCGGCGCGGCGGAGGAAGCACAGACCCCGGCACTGGAGCCAAAGATGCACTCGCCCCATGGGGGCCGCCATTCCTGAAAGAAGCGCGGGAAGGGCCCGTACTGCGCACGCGCGCGCACGACGTAGGCGGCACCTGACGGGGCGACGCGAGGGTCAATATTCCTCGGCTTGCCTGCGCGTGCGCGCTGCGAACGTTCTTTTCCCTACGACGGGAGCGCGGAGAGGGCAAATCTCCGGGGTTCGCGAGAAGAAGCGATAGATTCTCGGATAGAGTGCTTCTGAATGGGGAGGCTCCGTTTTTACCTGTCGTGGCGAATGGCCCATCGGGACTCCTGTCGATAAATTTGTTTGGCTGTCCTAACAACAGTGCTAAGACCCGAACTGAATGCTGGTCTCAGCCACCATCAGGGCTCCAACGCCATCATTTTTAGTAATCCTGGCTTTATTTAAGGATGGGTCACCAAAGTTGCTGCTGATAGAGCGTTTGAACTGTGCTACAGTGAACCCAATCTATTTAGGGTTATGGTAAGTCCTGTTAAACTAAGCAGAATTTACGTCCAAGTAAACATCAGGACAGAGCTTAAATCTTTGCATATGAATAATAAAAAAGGCACCTGGAAATATCAGCAGTAGCAACGTATCCTCAATTCTGAGCCCACTTAGCACCATTTGTAGTGACACGTGCAGCCAAACTGAGAAATGAGATTGAATTTTGTAGGAATGGACTTTATAAAGTAACAATATGATAAAAACAAAAGCAATGTGATAAAAATAAAAAACACTATAACACGCTGCCTGATAATGATGTATCACCGGAATGTCCAACAGGTTGATCGTGATCTACTGGTAGATGCCCGCGAGGTTTTGGTAGATCGCGGTCGATCCCTGGCTCTCTTTCCTTAGCGTTGTTAAAACTGACTCCTAACCCCCCCTCACCCCGCCCTCCATTGTTGTCTTATCTCTGGAAGGGAAAGATGGAGCTTTCTCTGTGTTGCTGTTTTCCCCTATAGCGATCTTTTTGTGAGTGACTTTACCCCTTTGTCCCTTGCCTTTAAGCCCCCCCAAACCGGAAATTCCCCCCAAAGCTTTTCCTTTAACCCCCGCCCCATGGGGCTTTTGTCCTCCCTAAAAAATGCTCAAGAACTTTGAGCTAAACCCCTAAAAAACGGGGATAAATCACTGCCAGTTTTTAATTCTGAAAGTAGATCGCAGTCTCTTGAGAGTTTGCCACCCCTAATGTATCAGACCACTGGTCCTTTTGGCATCAGCACATTTCAGACAGGGGGCCTTCCCCAGCTTTGCTTAGAGATGCCTGGAATTGCATTTGAGGACCCTTGCCTGCAGGGGATGTGTTCCACTACCAAGCTGCAGTCCTGTCCCCATCCTTAGTAGGTCATTGAATAGGTGTGTTTCTAGGAAAAAGGTAAAAGGCGGATCTAGACAGATCCTCGTGAATTCATATGATTTTTTAATTCAAATTAAATAAAACCACCATGATACTGTAGACCATGTCTTACTCTGTAGACAGCATCAAAAAAATCATGCATCCACTATTTCGTGGGGCCGCAGGGGCGCAAAAACATGGTTAAAAAACACGGATCCTCATGGAACCTCATGATTTTTGCACAAGACCAGCCCAAAGTCACCATCAGATCAAACATCATGGCCATGGGCACAGCATCCACCACAAAAATCACGGATCCACGGCTTCCTGGCCATACCGTGGCCCAAATACGTGGTTTTGTGTTTTTTTTTTAAAATAATTTTTATTAAAGTTTCAATCAAAAATTGAACAACAAAGAAAGAAAAGAAAAACATAAAAAAGATACACAAATACACAATACAAATCTCAAAAAGAAAATTAAAAAAAAACGCAAAAAGCAAGAATCAACAATAAAAAGAAACATAACAATTAAAAACAATATCTCTTTTCCATTTCTGTTTTTAAATTTACTTATTTTCTGGACTTCCTCATACCTCCCTCTTTTGTATTCCAATCCAAATTGTTTGTCCAGCAATTTCTTTTCCACTTTTTTAATCCCAATCTTTAATTTTAATATAATATTAAAATATATGACTTCAACTTCTTTAAACCTAATCTTTGGTCTTAATGTAATATAACATTAAAATTTTACCTCTTAATTGTCAAATTTCCATTTCCTTAAACATCTTTAATCCTAATCTTTAATCTTAGTCTATCATTAACTTTAACCTGTACAGCTGGAACCCGCTTATTTTCAGTCCAACATCACTCTAACATTCTTTAATCAAAAACGTGGTTTTGAAGCACGGATCCTCATGGATCCTCAGGCTTTTTTCATTGGGCCAACCCAAACTCACTGTCAAATCACATATCATAGCCAGGGGCACAGCCTACACCACAAAAAACTCGGATCCACACCTGCCTGGCCATACCGTGGCCCAAAAACGTGGTTCCGAAGCATGGATCCTCATGATTTTTGCACAAGATCAGCCCAAAGTCACCATCAGATTAAACATCATGGCCAGGGGCACAGCATCCACCACAAAAATCACGGATCCACGGCTTCCTGGCCATACCGTGGCCCAAAAACGTGGTTTTGAAGCACGGATCCTCATGGATCCTCACGCTTTTTGCATTGAGCTACCCTAAACTCACTGTCAAATCACACATCATTCCCAGGGGCACAGCCTGCACCACAGAAACTCAGATCCACGGTTATCTGGCAACGGCATGGCCCAAAAACGTGGTTTAGAAGCACGGATCCTCATGGATCCTCACACTTTTTGCATTGGGCCAACCCAAACTCACTGTCAAATCACACATCATGTCCAGGGATACAACTTGCACCAAAGAAAACTAGGATCCACAGTTTCCTGGTCATAACACTGCCCAAAAACGTGGTTTCAAAGCATGGATCCTCATGGATCCTCACGCATTTTCCATTGGGCCAATCCAAAGTCACCGTCAAATCACAGATCATGTCCAGGGGCACATCCTGCACCACAAAAAACTCAGATCCACGGCTCCCTGGTCATACCGTAGCCCAAAAACGTGGTTTTGAAGCGCGGATCCTCATGGATCCTCATGCTTTTTGCATTGGGCCAACCCAAACTCACCGTCAAATCACACATCATGGCCATGGGCACAGCCTGCACCACAAAAAACACGGATCCACGGCTTCCTGGCCATACCGTGGCCCAAAAACGTGGTTTTGAAGCATGGATCCTCATGGATCCTCAGGCTTTTTGCACTAGATCAGCCCAAATTCACCATCAAATCACACATCATGGCCAGGGGCACAGCCTGCACCACAAAAAACTAGGATCCACAGCTTCCTGGCCATTCCACGGCCAAAAAACTTGGTTTTGAAGCACGGATCCTCATGGATCCTCATGCTTTTTGCATTGGGCCAACCCAAACTCACCGTCAGATCACATGTCATAGCCAGGGGCACAGCCTGCGCCACAAAAATCATGGATCCACGGCTTCCTGGTCATACCGTGGCCAAAAAACGTGGTTTTGAACCACGGATCCTCATGGATCCTCACTCTTTTTGCACTAGATCAGCCCAAATTCACCATCAAATCACACATGGCCAGGGGCACAGCCTGCACCACAAAAAACTGAGATCCACGGCTTCCTGGCCACACCATGGCCCAAAAACTTGGTTTCGAAGCACGGATCCTCATGCTTTTTGCATTGGGCCAACCCAAACTCACTGTCAAATCACACGTCATAGCCAGGAGCAGAGCCTGCACCATAAAAATCATGGATCCACGGCTTCCTGGCAACGCCATGGCCCAAAAACGTAGGTTTAAAGCACGGATCCTCAAGGATGCTCACTCTTTTCACATTGGGGCTCCCCAAACTCACCGTCAAATCACACATCATAGCCACGGGCACAGCCTGCACCACAAAAATCATGAGTTGCACTACAAAAATCACAAAAATCCCCTTACCTGCACTGTTAATGTCACCACTGCAATATTATTATTCGAGCCGATAGGAGAATATATGACTACCTTATTTTTCGCTCTATAGGGCACACTTTTTACCCTCCAAAAATTAAGGAAATGTGTGTGTGTCCTATGGAGCGAATGCAGGCTCCTTGGCTTCAGCGATAGCAACATGAAGCCTCCGAAGCGCAGAGGGAGCGCTCCCTCCACTCCAGAGGCTACGTGTTGCTTTCGCTGAAGCCTGGAGAGCGAGAGGGGTCGGTGCACACCGACCCCTCTCGCTGTCCAGGCTTCAGGGATAGCCGTTGAGGACTTCTTGGATCATTCTTTGTCTAACTCCTTCCCTGTTATGTACTAAGCTTGGATCCTAGAACAATAGGCAAGTAGGATCCTAGAATGCAAGAACTGATTGGCTTGCAGGAAAAGACCAATCAGGCTCCAGGAGGGAAGCAGAATCAGCTAGTCAGACGGGACTCATTGTGTAAATAATGTATATAAAAGCCTGAGGTTTGGGGGGAAATTCAATCACTGTTTTACAAGCTGCAATAAAGAGCATGAAATCACTACAGGACTCTGAGCATATTTAATTTTCTTTGACCTTACCACCTTGGGTGACCCTGCTGGGAGTACGAGATTCCCAATGGCTTCGCTCACAAGGGTCATAGGAATGTGCAAGCCCACTCACCATGACAAGTGAGAGAACTGAGATAGATTGCACTGAGCCCTGGTTCTCATTAGACAAAGCGTTCCACCAAAAAGGCTTTGGCTCTGGTTGAGGACAGCTGGATATGTTTTGGGCCAGGGACCACCAGTAGGTTGCTGTTAGATGAGCGTCACACTCATGGGGGATGTATTGGAAGATAATTCCCACAGATAAGAAAGGTCACAGACTGTTTAGGGCTTTAAAGATTAGCACCAAAACATTGAACCTGATTCGATACTCCACCTGGAGCCAATCCAGCTGATGAACAACCAACTGAATGTGGGCTCTCCACAAAGTCCAAGTAAGAACTCATGCATCTGCATTTTAGACCATTTGGAGTTTCTGGAGCAGTCTCAAGGGTAGCCCTGCATATATCTCTCTCTCACTCTCTCTCTATCACATTTATACCCTGCACTCCCCGGCTCAGGTGTACAGCAAGTTAAAGTAGTCTAGTCTG